ACCTCTGGAAATGGGTCGTGATCAGCTTGTAGCCTTCTTGATCAATGGCGTACACCCGTGAATGCCGGAACAATCCTTTGCTTGAGAAGAGCCAGCAGCCGAAACCGATGACGATGGCCTCGACGACGAGCAACGCTGACAAGAATCCGTACAGGTATGGCCACACCGGCTTACCGGCATCGTGAGATGACAATGAAGAAGAGACGTTGAGGAGAACCTTTCTGTTGCTGTCGCCGGTGGCGGCGGCGGCGCAGCCGGTGATGTCTTCTTGGATGGCGAGGCCGCCGCCGCCGCCGTCGCCGCCGCGCTGCCATTGGTGGACATGAAACTCCGGCACGTCGAAGTCGGCGGGGACCTTGATGTACACCGTGCCCGGCAAGCCGGGGAAGGTCTTGCCGTTGAAGAGGACGCTCTTGAGGTAGCACTCCATGTGCTCCTTGTACTGGAACACCACGCACGCGCAGTTGTCGAGGCACTTGTTGGCGCAGTCGCCGAGCGGCATGACCTCGCCGTCGTTGAGGTCGTAGCCCCAGAAGTCGCTGTGCGGCAGCGCCACCAGCTTCGCCGGCCGGCCGCACTCGATCCGGAACGTCGGCCTGCACCCCCTGCTCCAGTCGCTCGCGTCGACGCGCTCGTGCCCCGGCGCGCAGACGCACACCGGCGCCGGCGAGTAGAGGCACACGGCGTTGGCGCCGCACACGCCGTGGATGTTGCACGGGTTGCCGAACGCCATCCACGACACCGACCACGCTCCCGTCGCGCCGTCCAGGCTGTACGCCCTGAGGTTGCCGTCCGTGTCCAGCGTCAGCCGCCTCCTGACGCCGGCGGCGCCGAGGTCGGCGGCCTCGAAGGTGGTGCCGTCGCTGGAGAGGAACTGCCCGAGCGCGTCCATGGCGGCCTCGCGGGAGAAGTTGTAGATCTTGCGGTTGTTCTGCCAGTAGCTGAAGTAGGGGTTGGGCCAGTAGATGCTGGAGAAGTTGCCGTTGTCGTAGAAGAGGGAGAGCATGGCGTAGTCGCTGAACCCGAGGCTGTAGTAGCCGGCGGAGAGCAGCCGGTCGCGCGACACCAGCCGCGTCGCCGCCGTCAGCCGCTGCGTCGGGAGCAGCGTGTCGGTGGGGAAGTCGAAGCTCTGCCACAGCGTCTTGCCGCCGGCGTCCTCGACCACCAGGTTGCCGGAGTCGTGGAGCCGGACGCGGGCGCCGCCGCTGCCACCGGCGGCGGGGGTGGAGGAGTTCCAGACCACCTCGCCGCCGTAGTCGGTGAGGACGAGCGCGCCGTGGCGCGCGTCGAGCGTGACGCGCGCGCCCTTGCTGTGCACGGGGCGCGCCCGCGCCGCGGTCCAGACAACGGCGCGGTCGGCGGCGCGCGCGAACCAGACGGAGAAGGTGAAGACGGTGGGCGACGCGTCGTAGAAGCCGGCGGCGAACGTGCCGTCCGGCGAGCGGAGGACGTCGGTGGCGTGGTCCTCGACGGCGATCGAGGCGCCCCGGGCGAGCCACTCACGCGCCGCGTCGACGCGCCGTGGACATGGACGCGACGACGAGCTTAGCGTGATGATCACAAGCAATGCGAAGGTTGCAAGGCGAGAGCTCATCATGGCATATCAATCAGGATGTTGATTCTGACAGGACTGAGATTAGGATGTTGATTTGGACTGTATAGTGATTACGGTTAATTTTTTTGTCACACAAGTCAAGAGTTTTGTGCGTTCCGTCGCCTGGGCACCAGTGACTACCACTAATTAAGATAGTAATATGGTAATAAACTAGTGTTAGTGAAAGCGATTTGACTTAGATCTGAGTATTGTACTCCCTCCGTTTCGAAATGTTTGACACCGTTGACTTTTTAGCACATATTTGACCGTTCGTCTTATTCAAAAACTGTTGTGAAATATGTAAAATTATATGCCTACATAAAAATATATTTAACAATGAATCAAATGATAGAAAAAAAATTAATAATTACTTAAATTTTTTGAATAAGACGAGCGGTTAAACATGTGCTAAAAAGTCAACGACGTCAAACATTTCGAAACATAGCGAGTATATGCATAACGAGGTGTACATGCACGTTGCGTCCAATGGAGTTTGTGTGCATCTGAACTCTGAAATTCTAAACTTCTGCTTAAAGAAAGCTGGGTGAGAAGATAGTAGTAGCTTTTTAGTTCGGTTCACAGCAGTAATTGGGACTACGATTGGTTAATAGCAGCAATGTTTGTATCATACCAGCAGCTGTGCAGCATCAAATGCAGGATGAGCTGAGCAGACAGGAAAGGTTTTGACTGTCAGTTAATGTTGGATGATTTTTTAGTCAACACTTGGTTTGATGATCTGTACCGTTGACTTTGTAAACAAATGTTCTATATTCTACTGTATGATAAGGCTGAGGTGCTTTGCGGAGAAGCATTAATCAGCCGTCAGCGAATGGAGAAGTTCCATGTAGTTTTAGGATTGGGACACCTCACAGATTTTCAACGAGTCAATGCATCATCAGTCAGGACAAACACAGACATAATGAAAAATTGATGGAGTTAATCAACAATATTGTAATGCTAGCCACCTCAAGAATCTCAGTTATCTAAAAATAATTACATAACTGCGAAATGGCTATGAGTAATAACATTCAAACAATAGCCACACAACCTATTCTCTATAGGGTGGATTTGATACAATGTCTGATCTCTATTGGATCTGATACAACTTCTGAACTATCTGATACAACCCCCTTACTCATTGGGTTGTCACACTCTTTGTCAGATTCCTTGGTTGATCAACATCAAATCCTCGAAGACCTGTCAGATGGTATAGTCTTTGATTTGGGATGTTGGGGAGAAAGGGGAGGAGGAGGCCACTACTGGTAGTGGTAAGAGTTGAGCTCAACTGTGCCGGGAGAAATTTACAATATACCACTCAATAGAGGTGGCTTTAACGAATGTCATTCTTTAGGATGTTCTTATAAAAATACCACTCAATAAAGACTCTTTCTTAATGAAATGCCACTTTGAACTGTTTTAAGGCTTTTAATTGCAAATGACGCGCGAAATGACAAAAATACCCCTGTGTCCTTTCCCCGGTGGCAGTGATGACTCCTTCCCGGCGTTTAGCGCTGCAGTGGGGAGCGGGGCAGGGAAAAGGCGGATGGGGCGGCGGCCCCTAGCGCGGCCGAGAGAAAGTCAGCCGCGCGTGGACGGGCGACGGTAGCGCGGCCGGCCGGGGGCGCACAGATGGGGCGGCGTCGGCCCCTAGCTCCTCTCGGCCGCGCGTAGATGGGCGACGGCAGTGGCGGCAGTGGAGGCGTCGGCCCCTTGCGTGCCAAGAAGAAGTCGCGAGAAAGAGAGGAGACGCATTCTCCAAATCTAAACGATCCTAAGGGTATTTCGGTCATTTCGCGAGCGTAGTTTAGGAAAAATATAAACAAATAAAAATGTCTCAAAACAGCCTAAAGTAGCATTTTATTAAGAAACAGTCTCTATTAAGTAGCATTTTTATAAGGACATCCTATAGAGCGGCATTCTGTTAAAGCCACCTCTATTAAGTGGCATATCTATTATATTATTAAAACAGTCTTGAAAGAAGGCATCACGTTCGCTGTGGAGGCTAGAAATTCTCACATTAATCGGAGAAAAAGGAAAAAATCTACACGTGGGTCCAAATTATAACGGTTGAGATTTAATACAAATCTGTATAGAAATTTTGATTTGGAACCTTTACAATTCAAAATATGAAACAAGCACGTGTTCATGTTGGCCGGAAACAGTCATGGTACATTAGTTTTCCTTTCCTAACTGAAGCATGAAAAGGAACAACAATATATAGGAAAAAGAACAAACAATAGGTAGGCAAAATTTCAAATAGTTCCGATTCCCATCGTGACTTGACTCCCATGGCTATGTCCGATTCCCATTGTTACTGTGTAAGACCCAAAAAAATACTAGGCAATAACAAAATAATCACCCCTTCTAGAAGTGCAATCGGTAAAACAACGTAACGATATGATGGTCTTGACTATAGAAAAATATTATATGTAGCTCTGCATTTTTTTATAGGATATAGGCTGAATTGTCCTAATCACCTAGCTTCAAGATGAACATCGATCCTAATGAGTGGCCCACAACCAGCGTGCCGCCACCACATCGGTATCGAATTATTATACAAAGAAATCCTCCATAAAACTCAGCTAAAATATAACCAAATTTAAGAGCATCGAAGATACAGAGAATATTGAAAAAACTGGTCACTTCCAATACATATTAAAATTATGGACTTAAGACTTAAATTTTAGGCCTATACACCAAGTTGAGTGCATTTGAAATAAAAAAATAAAATAAATTTTGATAATAAATAATTATAAGAGTTCGAGTAGAAACAATAAATAATAAAAATATAAGAATGAAATATATAGATTTTTTTAAAAAAATAGTCCATCTACAACACAACGATGATAAATGAGAATAAAGAGGGAAGAGACAACAAGCCCAATGAACCTTAAATAGAATCCCAATGACGATTAGAAGAGGGACGACGGGCATGCCGTTAAGCAGCATGATGACACGGTCATGGTGTTTGGCGGGAGTTTTAGAAATTAAAAAAAATAAACTCTAATGATAATTTTATTCGGCTTTTTAAAGTCCGAATTGCAATAAAGACGGGAGGCAGTGGGCTGGGTGTAGAGGAGTACAGTGATGCCATTTGATGAGACTTTTAGAAATTATAAAAACGAAACCAATGAGACAATGAACTCTAAAATTATTATTAAATTTCTCCACCTGGATCTGCATCTGCACTTGTTCTTCATGTTGTTGTGCGAAGGAAGACGGAGACTAATTCCAGGCTCAATCGTATCGGCATCAGCCTTAGGTAATGGGCCTAATAACGTAATTCCAGGCCCAACAGTAAGCAATGCAGTTCGGTCATGGGCTCTTGCTCCTCCTATGCGTATCACCGTGCCTGGATTAGGACCGCGCTATAAAATTTAAAAATCGAGGGGTTTTTTTCGCAAAACGACGCGCTCTAACAACCCTCCCCGCAAGTCCGCAACCCTAGCCACCGCCGCCAGTCCCCTCCTCCCCCGCGCTCTCCCTCTCCCCCTCACGCCGTCGCGTCGCTGTCCCCGACACCTCCGCCTCCGCCTCCCGCTCCCGCCGCCGCAGGTCCGCCGTTCGCCGCCTCCGTTGCCGACCGCCACCGCCCCGCGCCGCCTTCCCCGCCTCAGCCTCCGCCTCCGCCTCCGCCTCCGCCTCCGCGCATCGCAACGCAACCTCAGGCGCAGAGGCGGCGACTTGACTCCCCCCTCCCCGCCCTCTCGCTCTAGGGTTTCCTCCCCTCCCCGTCGTCAGCCGCCACCCCACCCCCTCCCCCGCCGGGCTTCGCCATGTACGGTCACCGCGGGTAAGCCAACCCCCTCCTCCTCTTCCTTTCTCTCTTATTCCTGATTCATCTCCGCAATTCCATCCCGCCGATTCATCCATTACTTTCTTTTTTTTTCCCTACAATACTTGCTTGCTTACGCGATCTCATCAATTTCTCGATTCTATTAGGGATAATTTCTAAGTAGTTCACTTTGCTTTCCTACCATGATATGATATGATATCTTCTGCCTAGGATTTAGGATACATGTACAGCTTCCCCCTTACAAAACCAAACCCCTCTCCCCCAATAAATAAATAAATAAATAAATCGGAGGCAGTAATACATCCAAATTGATGTTTCATCAACTGCACCAGCATCCCAACTGTGGTTTGTAACATTCTTTTCTACTCATATGTGTTATCCAGTAGTTTGAGTATTTCTTCTATTCACATGCTGCCAACATTTAATTAGTTTTTGTTTATGTCCACTAATGCGTTCGCATTTCGACTCCATTACCTTTTTAAGCCTTCAAGTCCTGTTTAGATTACTAGTATTTCTTATCTGTGCAGTTATCTTTATGTTTGGGTTATTTTATATGAAATGGGGATTGAGAGATGAGGGGATCGTCTCCTTTTTTTTTTCTTTTCTCTTTTTGGGACTCTGGATTATCTGAAGGGCAATGATGGGAGGCGGGGGGGTTTCGGATGGGTACGAGGGATCAAAGAGGCCACGAATGATCGAATCCAATCCATACTTCGCAGTGACCGCAGGCAGTCCCTTGGATGTCTCAAAGAGGGCCAGGATGATGGAACCAGCCCCTCCCTATTTCGGAGCCATGGGCAGCAGCGCTGCTGGTGGCACCAGTGCCTTCTACCAGCCCTACGGCGCCAACTTACCTGGTGCAGGGGCTAACAGTGCCATCCAGAACTTTCCAGGGGTCCGTCTACGAGGGCTCCCCTTTGACTGCGACGATCTTGACATCTTCAAGTTCTTTGTTGGGCTGGACATAGTGGACTGCCTCTTGGTTCACAAGAATGGCCGCTTCACCGGCGAGGCTTTTGTCGTATTCCCATCAGCCATGCAAGCAGAGTTTGCACTGCACCGCAACCGGCAGAACATGGGCAGGAGGTATGTTGAGGTGTTCAGATGCAAGAAGCAAGAGTACTACAGCGCAATAGCTGCTGAGGTGAACCAGGGCGGCTTCTTCGACTCGGAGTACCGTCACTCCCCACCTCCACGGCCCAAGAAACCAGCTGAAGACAAGAGCAGCATGGAATATACTGAGGTGCTCAAGCTCCGTGGCCTGCCCTACTCTGCTACCACTGAAGACATCATCAAGTTCTTTGTGGAGTATGAGCTGACGGAGGAAAATGTGCACATCGCGTACCGTCCAGATGGTAAGGCCACTGGAGAAGCCTTTGTGGAGTTCCCAACAGCAGAGGTTGCAAAGACAGCCATGTGCAAGGACAAGATGACCATTGGGACAAGGTACGTGGAGCTGTTCCCATCAACCCCAGAGGAGGCCAGCAGGGCGAAATCGCGAGCCAGGCAATGAATTATTTGATCCAGTCATCTACTTTGCCCTGGCCTTGAGCAGCTGTGTTCCAGTTTAGCTTTCGCTTTGCATCCTTAAACTGTATCCCTCGCCTTTAGGTTTGTGTGCGTGTGTTTTAGTATGCATCATGTTGCTACCCTGCCACAACCCGTTGGTGTGGTGACTTTATAAGAACCCGAATTGCAATTTTAAAAGAAGTGGTGTATTATGAGATGCCTGCACTTGTAACAGCAGTTGCGCCTGGTTGGATGCATTTTGTATGGCAATGACATGATCATTGTTTTCCTTCTTAGTTTGCCACAGATGTTCTACTGTATCCCCTTCTTTTTGGTGAAGCAGGGGATGAAGCTCGCACTTTCTCTGTTCCAAAAGTTGGTTGTTGTTAATTAATATGAATATGCATAAACATAACGAGGTGTACATGCACGTTGCGGCCCATGGATTCTGTGTGCATCTGAACTCTGAAACTCTTAAGCTTCAGCTTAAAGAAAGCTGGGTGAGAAGATAGTAGCTTTTTAATTCTGTTCACAACACTAATTGGGACTACGATTTGTTAATAGCAGCAATGTTTGTATCATACCAGCAGAGCTGAGCAGACAGGAAAGGTTTTGATTGTCAGTTGATGTTGGATGATTTCTTAATCAACAATTGGTTTGATGATATGTACCGTTGACTTTGTAAACAAATTATCTATATTCTCATGTATGATAAGACAAGCATTAATCAGCCATCAATCAGCCAATGGAGAAGTTCCATGTAGTTTCAGGATTGGGACACCTCACAGATTTTCAGCGAGTCAATGCATCATCAGTCAGGACAAATACAGATATGAAAAATTGATGGAGTTCATCAACAATATTGTAATGCTAGCCACCTCAAGAATCTCAGTTATTATCTAAAAATAATTACATAACTGTGAAATGGCTATGAGTAATAACATTCAAACAATAGCTACACAACCTATTCTCTATAGGATGGATTTGATACAACGTCTGAACTCTATTGGATCTGATACAACTTCTGAACTATCTGATAGAACCCCCTACTCATTGGGTAGTCACACTCTTTGCCAGATTCCTTGGTTGATCAACATCAAATCCTCGAAGAACTGTCAGATGGTATGCGAGCAGCTGAACGAACAAATAACAACACACTCAGTAAATGAAATTGTTTCACAAATGATAAAGCATAAGTAGAAGTTCTGGAATTTGATGAAATTAAACAATTCAAAGAATGTGCAAACCTGTAACGGAATTATGTTAATCACTGGCTGGAGACAGTCAGCGACCTCTGGAACTTCAATAACCCTGCAAGATCCACTAGGGCAAACGGCAGATGCGTCTCCCTTTGAGCACATCACTATCAGACGCCCCTTGCGAGAAAGGAGCTGCTGAATCACTGATTGCTGCTTGCTGCAAGAGGTGAAGATGTTTAGAGGAACTCCTTGAAAAATGAAAAGAAAATGAACGTGCTCTGTAGTCTGTCCAAAGCGCTTACCTGAAGCACGCATCACGTGTAGCAATGACGATGATCGGAAGGTTTTCATCCACTAGTGCAAGTGGTCCATGCTTCATTTCACCAGCAAGCATGCCTTCGCTGTGCATCAGAGCAACCTCCTTAACTTTAAGAGCACCCTCTAAGGCAGTGGCATAGTTATAACCTCTGCCAAACACAAGGAGAGACTCTGAATCGATCAAGGAAGAGGCAAGTTCCTTCATCTCAGTATCAAGTTTGAAAACCTCGCTGACATTGCCTGTGTAGTAAAATAGACAAATTTGGAAAAGGTTGTTCAAAAGAAACAATTTCCTAGACTAGATCTAACACGACATACTTGGAAGATTGGAAAGACCACTGATGATAGCTTGACGTCTAACTTGGGTGGATATTTGATCAGATCCAACAGCCAAGGCCACCATCACCATGACTACTATTTGACTTGTATATGCCTGCAAGATAGGAGAAACTGTTAGGAATCAAAATGACCAAAAAAGGGTTGAAGCATGAGAATAGACAGAAATTAACCTTCGTACTAGCAACACCTATCTCACAACCAGCATTGATATGAACTCCACAATGTGTTCTTCTTGACAGTGTGCTTCCTACGGTATTTGTTATGCCAACACAAAGTGCTCCATTTTCTAGTGCATAATCAAGAGCAAGGAGGGTATCTGCTGTCTCCCCTGACTGGCTAACGAAAAATGCAGTGTCTTCCCTGTAGATGGGACCTTGTCTGTCCAGCAAGTCACTTGCAACCTCCATAGTCACAGGAATACCTATTGTCCAAATAATGCAAGGATGAAGTATCTGGGTCAAGAAACAGGTAGCTAATACATATTGTCACTGATGTTGACATCTAAAATATCTACATAAGGAGTCAGGACAATAAGTTGGCATACCAGTTAATTCCTCCACAAAAGGTCTTGCAGCCAAGGCAGCATTGTAACTTGTACCACAGCCAATGAAAACTAACCTTCTACTGCGCCTAATAGTTTTGAGGTACTCCTTTTCCTTTAATCCTCCTAAAAGAACACCACTATCCTTCACTCTACCCCTCATGGTTGTTGTTAATGAATGTGGCTGTTCATGGATTTCCTTTTGCATGAAGTGGTCATAACTTCCTTTCTTTATCTGCTCAACTTCCATCTCAAGGACAGACAATGCTCGTTGAACAGAAGCTGGCTTCTCTTTCTCATGGTCAAACTTAAGGATCGACACACTGCCGTCCTGCAATGGCCAAATTGTTAAAGCTTACACAAGGCATCAAATGTAAGGCTAATGATGTCAAAGAAACAAAAGAAATGTTGCACTAGCGTGTCTACATATTATTTCAGAGTAAATAAAAAACCAGCGACATAATAAAAATACAATTGTCAAATTGGCAGGTAAAATGGTACAAAGGAAACAGATAACTTTAGGTCTAGAAAATATAGATTGTCCCCCATTAAAAATGATCTTTCTTTCTAAAAAAAGGTAAAGGCAAAATAGAACAGATAAGGCAGGTCAATCAACAGAGAAAGCTGAAGAGTACCTTAATATGAACAATTTCATCATCTTCGATAGCCAAATAATTCTTGGTATGCTCCACAATAGCAAATAAATCACTAGAGAAGAATAATTCTTTCGGCTTCCCGTTTGTTGTCAGAGCTTTGACATCATGAAATGGTTTCCCACTATTTTGGCCACTTAATTCCTGAAAACAGAGACAACAGTTACAAATATAAAAAAAAATGGTTCCAACTAAAAAAGAAGCAGAACATTTATAGCATCTATAAATTCTGTAAAAAATGATTACACAAAAGATAACTCATAACCAAACCAACATCACCACAAAATAAAATTATTTAATCTGCAAGCAACCTACTTCACAGTTTCTCACGTTTGCATTTTTATAGAACAAAACATGTGGCAGTTAACCAGAGCAAGTAGTTCATAGTTACTCTATTGAGTGTGGACTTTATGTTTGAAGCAGATGGAGATAAGAATGGTGAAGAGAGAACAGAGGTAAAGTTAACTTTCGATGTTAGGTCTAGTAATACTACATAATAAAGTCAACTTGAACAGCAAAGGAAGTAGCTCAAGAGCATAACACATCATTCTTACACAAAATAAAAATCACCGTTTTACTATGCTTGATTAGAACCTAGCTGATAGTTTAAAACAAACCAGGATGCACTTACATTGACACCGAGTATCAGTGTGCTGCCCCGTTTGCATGCAATCAATTCATTGGGGTAGTGTGGGCTTTTAAAGATGAGTGCGTAGGCTCCTTCAAGCTGCCTCATGACTTCCATAACAACTTGGCTAAATGTCACATCACCTGAGAAAATAATTAAAAGTTGCCTTAACTAGAACTAGAACAGTAAGACCAACATATAGAATCTAGTTACCAATTTCTTTTCCTTTTGAATTTTGTAAGAATTCTCCTGCCTTGTTAAGAGTAATGTATTGCGTAAATAAAAATTTCTGAGCGCGAAAAGCATAATAAGGTATATTTATTGCCTCATCTAGTTCTTAGGTGGCAAATCTAGTTTTCAACATAGATCATAGTAGTATAATTCTTGCTCCAAAGAAATGATAATATAATTATAACCTGAGAATGAAAGGTTTAGCTAAAGATCAGGGAGTACATCTCGTCCGTTGTCAAGAATATATATACCTTCTTCATCATGTGCCTTATCAAAAACAAACTTTGCCAACTTAGGGATGACTTCTGTGTCAGTATCAGACTCAAAGGTGAACCCATGTCGGATTAGTGTCTCTTTCAGAACCTGAGCAGATACATCAAAAATACCAAGTTATGATGGGAATTTATCTGTTTACATCATTATCATCTGTTGCTACATTAATTTGAGAAGGTATCATGAGGTTACACATGATCATGAAACCAAGTTTGAGATGGTTGGCTGATTCATAAACGTCTAATAAACTTATTGTGAATTCAGTATATTGTCATTTGCCACTTCTATAAGATAATATTATCTGCATTACAACGACAATAATCTAGCAAAATGAGATAGAACCCACTGATATTCTAGTTGCTAGTTAATCTACTGTAGTTATTTAGAACCCACTGATATTCTAGTTGCTAGTTAATCTACTGCAGTTATTTTATTCCAGTAAAAGCATATGAGCTTTCAACTAAACGGCAGATTATTTAACAACAATAGTGAGGCGTCTATGGAGATTGAAGACAGCCCATGTGCAGGGCTTGGAAGATAACATGTTGGCCACTAGCATAAATCCACCATAGTTGCAATAATGCATGTGCATTCCCCAGCTGTAAAGATGATGAGAGACAAATACTATACAAGAATTCTAGTACAATATCAGAACTTCAGAAGAGCAAAGTAAACAAGAACCTCGTTGTTTGTGATGATGCCATTGTGGACGACCAAGAATTCATCGCCAGCACCAGAAGATTGGGGGTGGCTGTTCCTTGGGGCAGGCACACCGTGCGTGGCCCACCTGGTGTGGGCAATTCCAGCATGCACATTGAAGGCGGCGTCCAGGTTCACATCCTTCTCATCAACCTCTGAAAAATACACAAACATCCAACATGACAAAAGATATAGAGTACAAGAGAACACCAAAATTGTAGCCGAGACTAATTGTGTACGGTATAAATCGTCAGGAAATTCATAGAGCAAGGAACTCAACTCTCCAAGTGTTAAATTGAATAAATCACAAAAAATGCCATAAACCCAAGAAGATTTAGAGTTGATCCGAATGGGTCAAATTCTACCTTTTCCGAGGAGATCCAGAATTTTGGGAGCTATCCCAAAAATGCAAAGTGCGAACAGAAGAATTTCCCTCGCAAGGATCACTAAACCCAAAATCGCTAAAGGACATAATGATATTCCCCAAAATGTGATATGGATCCCAATCAAAATTCAAAGCTTTTACCAAGTGATACAGCCGAGTCAGACCACATAACACATGAAAATCGTGCAAAAATCCATCCCAAGAACCCAAAATTCAACCCATTTTTCAGCATAATCAGGAGGGAAAAGGCACTGACCGGAGTAGACGGATCGCACGAGGTTCTCGATCTTGCCCTCCTGGCGGAACACCAGCGGGGGCGCCCCGGCGTACGGCGGCACCGCAGAAGTAGAAGCGCAGGAGGGAACGTCGGCGTCGACGGCGATACCGGAGGAGTCGTAGCCGCGGTACTCGAGGCGGCGGAGGCCATTGAAGAGGACCTCGAGGATGTACCGGCGCTCCCGCGACACATTGTAGTTGAGGTACGCGAAGATCCCGCACATCGTGCGCCGCGCCGCGCTGGGTTGGGCTACTAGAAGCTTCCAGAAGTTTCTGGGCTCGGAGGAGAGAGAGAGAGAGAGAGAGAGAGAGAGAGAGAGAGAGAGAGAGAGAGAGAGGACGCGGTTACGTCGGCGGCGAGGAGTCGCCGGCCGAGGCGGAGGAAGAAGAGGAGAAAAAGGCCGCGTTTTTTTCTTATTTTTTGATAGGAGAAGGCCGCGTATTTGGGTGGGGGAGTCAAAGCCCAAATTTTATAGCTGATCGAGTACAACAAGACAGGCTGACGTGTAGCCTGTGACCCAGTAGCCGCACGATTTGGATCGGACGGCTACTGTAGCGCACAGCTCTTCGGAAGGAAAAATGGAAATCTAGGTGGTTTTCGCGTATAATTTTAATCGTCCGTCTTATTTGATTTTATTTATAATTAGTATTTTTATTGTTATAAGATAATAAAACATAAATAGTACTTTATGCGAGATTTATGTTTTTAATTTTTTTAAAAAAAATAAATAAGACGAATAGCTAAAATTGAATACTGAAAATCATGGCGATGGAGGAAGTACTCATTACGGTTGGCTGTCACTTGTCATGGTCAATGTTAATACATGTGTACTCCCTCCGTCCCAAAAAAAAAAGGCAAACTCTGGCTTTCCGTGTCTAACTTTAACTGTCCGTCTTATATGATTTTTTTTATAATTTGTATTTTCATTGTTATTAGATGATAAAACATGATTAATATTTTATGCGTGACTTGTCTTTTTATTTTTTTTTTATAATTTTTTCAAATAAGACAGACGGTCAAACGTTGGACATGGAAATCAGGGTTTGTCTTTTTTTTTTAGGAACGAGGGAGTACGTGTTAAAAAAAATGTTAATACATGTGTAGATTTGTCATGCTTGTGCCAAGCGTCGCGGTTCTGATTAATTTGGACGTCGATTTTTACTAGTAGTTGCAGTAGATGACAACTGAGTGCGTGTTTTAAGCCATAGTATGGATCAGATATTTTTTGAAGAGAAATATGCACACGTGTTAGGATTTTCAGTCGTGTTAATTTGACACTGAGAGATTGTGTTTATTGCTAATTGGAGTGATTAAAGTTGTAGATTAGATGGAATGGATGCATGGAGTAACCCAAGTCAGAGTAGCAAGGTCTGGGACTGGTCAGCAAAGGGCAGCGTGGACGTAGCTCCTCTTTCTTTTCTTGCTTGACTCATTCTCCCTAAAAATCTCCTACCATCTGCCTACCGGTTTCCAAGAAACAAACAAAGTACTCCATGTTTCTGAATTCTGATACTTGTCCATGTTGCTTATGTGCAGTGTATAGTAATGACTAAGCTAAATGTACTAAACTACTAATGACTAAACTACGTTCTCATTCGAGACCACGTGATTAATCAAGATTATAACTGGTCTACTCTTTCTTTCTCTAATGGGCACTACCCGAGTTTAAAAAACACACACCCAAATGATCAATACGACAAAGTGGTGTTCTTTTATCCTAAAAATAAAAATTAAGATTAAGTTTTTTACGTAAAATGAAGTGGTATTAACGTATGATTGATTGAGTTTTAATTATTGCAAACTTGAAAAATATTCAAATAGATTAATATGATATTTTAGAGTAACTTTCATATAGAAAATTTTCGCACGAAACGTACCGTTTAGCAGTTTGAAAAACGTGTCACGAAAATCTTAATATTCATTTGGAGAAAAGAACGGGACCTAATTATCACTGGATTGATGTTGCTTCAGTTTCCAGCCTCCCGAAAAGAAACTTCCATTACTCCAAAGAACTGTTCACTAGAGTACAGATGAACAGAGGGAACCATACAACCAGTCCAGAGGGACCCAACGTAGTGCCAAACGTCACCATTTCATGGGCAATATTGTTATTAGCTCTAGGACAGAACGTACATCTCTTTACTGCATCAAAACGGAAACAAAGTCCCTAGCTTCACGGATAGCAACAGCATTTGAACCGTCATCTCATAAATTTGTTATCCTTAAGAGCTTGGAACAGTTAGTTGCTTAGATTCGGTTTCTGATATAATCTGACTTGTACAAAGCAAATCGCCAATTAAGAGCTCCAATACCATATATAGCTTCTGCTTGTAACACATCTTTTTATATAAATTCATTGATCTTTCAGCTCCTTGACAGCACTGCGTCTTCTATCATACTCTTACATGGAGTTCAGCCCTGCAGGGGATCACCGAGCAGAGCATAGTACAGTCAAGAATAGTACAGGGAAGCATATATTTCCAGCGGGGATCACGGAAGGATATACATACAGCAAATATATTGGGGGCGCCGGCCAGTCCTCAGTTTTGTCCACACCTGTTTCTCAATATTTTTCTATGCTAGTGCTCCTAACTTGGCCTACTGTCCTCCATCTCCAACAACACAAGAGTACAAGACAAGTACTACAACGGCAACAACTATGCATGACATCACAACGAAAGCTGGGACCTCGTCGATCAAAGCTAAGCACAGGCACATAACACCCTCAATGCAACCAGCAGCAGCGAGGAGGCCATGCTGCCATGAATCATGATCATGGCGTCATCACAGGAGTTCGAGGCTAATGACCCACAGCAGCTGCACGCCAAGCCCAAGAGGCTCTACCAAGTCTGGAAGGGAAACAACGTGCCTGCTCTTTCTTTCTTTCTTTCTTGCTCCAGCGATCTGGCTTCAGCTTCTTCAACTTCATAGCTGAGAGGTAGACTGGTTTTCCTTCATTTTGCAGATATTCTTGTGTGGTGGACGCCTTATTATTGGCCCGGATGCAGCCTCCCTGCTGTTGTCCATGTTCCTCATCCTTGGCCCGGCCATCGTCTTCAGCTACCAGATGGAGTCCACAATCCACCGCTCTCAACAACGGATGCGTCGAGCTGCACAGCTGATAGTCATCATCACAACAGCAGCGGTTAGTGAATCCCCAAATCAATTATAAGTTGCTTCTTCACATAGAATTTTGATTGCCAATCCGTTCTCTAGTGACATATACCAAACAATTAATCAGCATGGTAGTCACAGTGATTTCAGCTTCAATATCTGAAACTGAAATCAGTCAATCAGGGGTTCAAGATTCCACAAGTCTAATTTCCACTATACAGCATGTCTAGCACTGCACAGTCATGTGAATTTCACCTTCAAAATTGCAGGACCTTTTCTTCCTATTCATGACATCAGCCAGGGACCCAGGGATAGTGCCAAGGAACACAAGAGCACCACCTGAAGCCGATGAATTTCTTGGCTCAACCACACCATCGATGGAGTGGAGCTCAGGGAGAACTCCACGGATGAGGTTCCGTAGGGCAAAGGATGTTACAGTCAATGGCTTCACGGTGAAGGTGAAGTTTTGCGAGACCTGCCTAAGGTACCGCCCACCGCGATCCTCACATTGCTCCATCTGCAACAACTGCGTTGAAAAGTTTGATCACCACTGCCCATGGGTCGGCCAGTGCATTGGACTTGTAAGTAAACAATCAATGATGCAGCAATCAGTATAGTCATCAGCCTTAAATTCAATGTGCAGTTCCAGTACTATTTGTTTCCATAGTGTTTTTAGGCATCTGGTAGAGAATAACCAAACTCTATGCAATGAGTCTCTTAAAAAAGCTCTATGGAATGAATGAACTTACTTTCAAGTTTCAATAAGAAGCTGGTATATGCAAAAAAAAATGTCTTCCCTGCCAATGGTCAATGTCCAACCAAATTCCTTCCAGTCATCTTCAGCATTTGACTATTTGTAAGTTATTCATAAAGCTACAGAGCTTAACAAGACATTTTGACTTGAATTTGAGACTTGTAACTTTACTTTTAGCTAAAAAAAACTCATCAATCATCCAAGTTGAATTACACCAGGCTCAATGTAAGCTATTTTTTAAGTACAAAATCACCACGAATGAGTTGTTAACTAATTCCACTGTTTGACTAGATGTACAGATAAGGTTAGGTAACTACGGGAACAGAACAACGAATTTTTCAGAGCAAGACCTGAACTATACCTAACATACATTTTCGAGGCCTCAAGCATATATTTCTAAAAGAATTTCTCGCAATTAATTCAGTGAACCTAAGGTCCAGGAATAACTTATGTGAAAGAGCAGATTAACCAAGCACTAACGATCACCTGAATTCCATATTTCAGCAACTCACAAAATCTCTTAATACAGAAATTATGTTAAAGTATTTTTGAATGCGTGATCATTACATTCTCGGATGGTTTCCACTTGCTTATCAAAATAATGACATTTTTTTTCTTTTTTCTTGCAGAGGAACTACCGCTACTTCTTTCTGTTTGTAGCGACATCAACTTTCCTGTGTATAATTGTTTTCATCTTTTCATGGGTGAATGTCTACTATGAAAGGGGAGACGATGGCGGATCCATCTGGAAGGCTTTGCGAAAGGAAACATACTCATTTGTGCTAATCATATATACTTTTATTGTTGTATGGTTTGTTGGTGGTCTCACAGTATTTCATCTTTATCTGATCAGTACTAATCAGGTAAACTTACTTCCTTCTTTATCTATTCCAGAAACATGCTACAGTTACTGGTTCTCTTATACTGGAATTCAGTAAATGCATTTTGATGAGTAGACAGTATTAAGAGTCTGAGATAGTTCTGATGGCTTCAATTAGCAGCTCCATACACGGTGTTAAATGAATGTCTAACTAGATCCAACTGCAAATTCTGCAGACAACATATGAAAACTTCAGATACCACTACAACAAGAAGGACAACCCCTACCGAAAGAGCGTTGCAGCAAACTTTGTAGAAGTGTTCTTCACCAAGATCCCTCCACCACAGAACAATTTCTGTTCATGGGTAGGTGAGGGCGCACTGGAAGCTGGATTTTATACTCCATATATTGCGCTGGATTTGACTGATCCAAGGGAAAAGATTGATTTAGAGATGGGAAACAAGGATATACTCGTGGGGGGTATGCAGATCCCAACAGTGCTTCAGAACATAGACTATGGTTCCTTTGAAGATAATCCAGATGACAAGAACAGGAATGAAGATGATAGACTAGTGCCTTTTGCTTCAACTTGGGTACAACAAGCAAATGAAGGTGCTCGAACATCTGAAATAGCTACTGTAGAATATAAGGACGAAATAAGTGAAGATGGTGGTAAGGAAATTATTAGTTCAAACACAAGTTCAGAACAAACATCAATAGAAGCTAATGCAGCAGCATCTGAGGATGAAAGCAATGAGGGCATTGCTGGAAAAAGTAACAGTTCAGATAGAAGTTCTACCCAAAATTTGGGGGATGTGAACTAATAGATCTGTATTACTCATCTAAATTGATAATCTGTTCATATACATGGCCATTATGAGTTGACATTATTCTTAGCATTACACATGATAAATAAAAACAGAAAGTGAATGACTGTATGCCTCAGCCAAACTTTTTATAATGTATTATTTTACATCTAGAAGCCCATGTTGCACTGTTCACGCTTTCCTGCACTATATGTTTCTACTTTCTATAGCATGTGGGCCGTAATGTGGACATAAAAAGAAAAGAGTTATGTTGATTGATTACTACCTTAATGATGCAACAGATCAGATTGCTCTACTGCCTTTATGGTACTACAAAGGAGAAGCTAACAATGCAGATGTTGAGCAAGTCACAGAAGGGGCATGACATTAACAAAATAATCCATAAAGCAGGACCAATATAACGTAAATCGTTAAATAATGATTCCATTGCTCATTATTTGGTAAAAAAAATACAGCTGCTTACAGCTTACAAGCTAAACTTTCCAGACTAACTGAAATCTGGAATTTGAAAGCAAATTACTGGTTGCAAGTAAAGCTTCTGGAAGAAAATCGTCGCTAAAAGGCAGTACCAAAGATTGCACATTTCTGCAAAAATGAAGTTCCTCACGCCTGATAGACATCTGGAAGCTGAAGGCCTACACTAGCAGCAGATTTGTTCAATATCTTCTTCATCTCCTCTGATCGGTCCACAGCTATATTATACGAGAATAGCAGGTCCTGGGCAACCGATAACATGATTTACAGAGTTAACATGGTATACAGTGCATGAAAAGCTAATCGAAACATGCCAATATTGCAACGAATGTGTAATTTTTGTTCCGCCTAAACTAGGTGTGATGTACTGGGAAGTGGGAATCAGCAATGAAGCAACTGCGAGCTCTTATACTGAAACACACTGAAAGAAGTTCAACTCATCACATCAATCAGAGCAATGATTTGGCACAAAAACAGTAAATAACCCAATAGGAAAGGGGAGAGAAGTCTTCCTAGCCATTTCATCGAACACATCGTGTGCTAAAAGAATGCGCGAAACAGGAAAAGAGGATGAACCTAGGAAAACGTACTAAGTCTAACCTTGTGGTGGTGGACGCTGGCGAGGAGGTAGGTGTAATCCCCGGCGAGCCGCAGCCGCGCTCTGGCGTCGGCGTCCGTGCCAGTGGGGCGGCGGAACTCGGAGGCGACGAACTCGCGGAAGTGCTTCTTGGAGTCGCCCCCGCCGACGTGCTTCTGCACCGCCTTGAGCACCCGCCGGTAGACGGCCGCCGCGGCCATCATCTGGTCTGTGTGATTGGAGCCGCGAGAGGTGGCGGCTGCTGGGTTCGCCGGAGGCCGGGAGTTCCGCCGCCGCCTCGCTCGGGTGGGGACTGGACTCCTATCTGGACCGCATATTTTGATCCAATGGTAACCAACAGGCAGCAGGATGTCTCTTTTTTTTTTTTTAATCTCGCCAGGTGTTTGGAAACTTCTGGAAAGACAATTGAGAATTGATACTAGGGAATTAATGGTAGATTAGCAACAATTTGATTTTTTAAGTCATATTCCATTATCTGGAGAAAAAATTATGGAGATTATATGGGATTTAATTTAAGACCGATATTCTAATATGTTCTTTTAAGGTATTCATAGGAGTAGGATGTGTGTATATTTATAGCGTAATGTGTGCGCGTTCTGACTACATGCGTGTTTGTGTTGTGTTGTGTTTCTTTTAAAAAAGGAACAGTTGAAATTTTTCTAGATAATATAGTCTATATATAAAAGGGAAAATTTCCTCCTAACTCTCATTCTACCCTAGGTAATAAAAATGGACGGGGGTTTCTCCCTCATTTCCATACCATCGGAATCACATCGGGACTGTTCACTTTGATGCCATTTTCAACAATACCATTTTTTAGTGAAGTTGCCAAAAGAATGTCTACGTTTAGTTTGTTGCCAAATTTAGTAAATACATAAGAAATCCTGTCAAAATTACATTGCCAACTTGCCAAATTTTGGTAAGGTTTATTTTGGCTATAATCTGAACAGGCCCATCTTTTACCAAATGAAACATGTAAATAGTCTTATCCTACAATATCACCAGCAAGGAGTATACCAAAACATTTTTGGGCGGCTAGCGAGAAGCTAGCTAGTTAGAGCCATAAGCGCGCTCTAGCGTCAGCCTGTGAGGCGGTAGAACTCGAAGGCAACGAACTCGCAGAAGTGTTCCTTGGGGGCGCCACAGCCGACGTGCTTCTGCATCACCTTTAAGAACATGGTAGTACGCTCAGTAGCATATGAGTATCATGAAAATTTTACGTAAAAATAACAAATTTTCTATAACTAATCAAACAACGTCTGATTTTAATACATTCTTTTATCAAAATATAACCGAGAAAGATCTTGTTGGAAAAGATTTAGTTGCAACTAAATATGTAAAATGAGATTGATTAAAATGAAGATGAAATAAAGTTACATGGATTGGCGAGTTCCTATTTGGAAAGTTGCAATTTCTTAACCGCAACAATTTCCATCCCTGGTGAAATGAGAAAGCCATTAACGCATGTTTAATTGAGTTTTAATTATTACAAACTTAAAATATAGATTTATTTGATATTTTAAAGTGACTTCATTTTTATAAGAAACTCATACCAAAAATATGCTAACGAAATTTGAGGTAAAAGCTACATCCTAATCAGAAAAGAACTGGCATTCAAGCCTATATATGAATCTTGCTACGCTACTACTGGGGTACATCCAAAATAGTTGTCCTAAGTTTTTTTTTTTTTGCCGTTTCCCTGCTTTTCTTTGCAGGTCGCCGACCGATGTCCATATTGCAACAATTCATTTGATACCTCTCAATTCGAGAACGATCTTGATGAATACCAAATAGAAGCAATGGAATCCATAGTATCTTCTCTATCCTGCAAACACATCGAACACAATATTAAGTTGATAAAAGGACCGCAAGATTCTGGGAAGACAAAGCTCATTTCAGCTATATTGGCGTCAATTGGACATACATTACGCTGTGTTGTGTATGCACCATCAGCGTCTGATATTGTTGGTATCCTCAATGAGACAAAGAATCTGAACATGTCACATGACCAATACAAACAGTTCAGTGAGAAAGCTATTGTTTTTGAAAGGACTTGTGATCTGGGAGCTGACTTTGGACACATGTCAGCTGAAAAAGCCAAATTGATTTAGCAAGAAAGTTCTTACGAACTCCAAGATGGAAATACTTCATCAATTGGGCAGTCCAAGTGCTTCAGCATTATAAACAATTATACAAAGCCTTCAAAAAAAAAGTAAAAGAAACCTCTTTCTTGATATCTTCAAAGATATTTCATCAAAGCCTCCCAGCAGCTGAAGAATTACATACTATATCTTCACACACGAGTTCAGGATTCCACTGTAGAGGATAACATACTGAAGATCATGAGTTCTTTGGAAGAAATGGAGGAGCTTTTAGGTCATGCTGACCTAGATAATAATTGCTTGATAGATGTGTTGTTTAAGGAAACTTAGATGATTCAAGTGGAAACTATACTATTGCTGAAAAGGTAAACAACAGGTGGATTCTCTGCATTAATTTGCTCCAGACCTTCAAGGAAAGACTTGTATCAGTTGGTGTACGAATCGTTGAGACACAACCAGATATTGAGGCTTACTATATAAACACCGCAACTGTTATGTTATGTTTTGCTAAGTTGATAACTCATTTTATTTGAGAGAAAAAGTTCACTGCTAGATTGATTGTTTAATCACCGATAATACTAATCTCTTGGATGAAATTAAAATAATTATCACTTGTGCCTTCCAGTCCTGGTATCTTGCTGGAGATAAGGCAACAAATAATCAGGTAATGTCATGTATATATACGAAATTATAAGATATAATTTTTTTATTGCAACAATAATTGTAAATGAAATATTTCACACATGCTTATAAATCTGTCATGTTTTGGTAACTCCTAAGAATAGCAACAAGACAAAGTCAGCACATCACTTTTTGAAAGGTTAATATATCTCGGTTTCAAATAACATTTGCTTCTTAAGCAACATAAGCATAAGAGCCTCACTCAGTTGGCACGATGGAAGAAAAACTCTATAACAACCAAAGGTGTGTTACATTGCATATATTTATGATAGTAAAACTTTACTAGTTAGCACTCCATTCAAGTTATCCAAATTAGACCACCTATTATTTACCTTTTTCTAATAATGTTTCTTTCATAAAATGTCTTGGGGGTCCATGGTTCTCTTTTTTACAGTATCTAACTTTCAAGTCCAATGATTCTATTTTTCTTTCAAGTCAAACGATTTTATTTTCTGTCATTCTTTAGGTGCGGAAGTGGTAGAAAGTAATGTTTTGGGAACTAAAAAAATGTTTCCATTATCTAAAAAAATGTTTTGGGAAAATGTTGCAGAACTTTCGCATGAAGAAGACAATAATAATTTGATGATTAGGTAGGACTCAGGATTTAGGACAGGAACCAGGTCTCACCTATTATTCATACGAATGTGGTCTTGTTTTTTATTTTGTTTATTTTGTTCAGCGTGTGTTTCATGCCAATGTGTTTATGTACCATGAGTAACCAAATACTCAAATTCAGAATATATACATCAGGGATTCTATAGCTGCAAGACAAATCAATATCTTAGACTTGGTATGCTAATTGTGCCAGGCTGAGTTCAATTGTTAATTTCTAGTTCTAATCGGAGGAGGATACGTGAAGTAGTCCAAATTGATGTGGTCAATTTCTTAAGGCTCTATCATACTATTAGTGGAGAGTAGAAAGAAATAGGGAGAGGATTACCGACAACTCCGAAATTCCTCTGACTTCTTCTACTCTACTCTCTTCCTATTCTAGTATATAATATAGTACAATAGAGCCTCTTGTAATTCAGCTCATGCTTCAAGTATGTGTTTACAAGTGAGGATGAGAGGGGTATTTATAGGTGGAGAAGTGCCTTGGGAGTGTGGAGATGCTTCAAGCATCCAAAGAGCATCTTCTCTCTTGTGTTGCCAAGTGTCCCTTCTGATGACGGTTTCTACCGGTATTAACACCATAATTGTCATATGGAAGCGGAGCACAGCCGAACTGAACTTGGGCCTGGGCCAGCGGCCTCTGTCAGGTTCGGCCGAACCCTGGCCAGCTCCATTGGCCCCGATTTTCGGCGTGGACACTCATTTTGGGCCCCTCATTCTATTGGTATGGATGGAAGGGCCATTTGGAGGTGTTTAATTGGGTTTTTGGGTCCAAAACTCCATATGTTCAGATACGTGTTTGATTCTCCTCCTCCTTCAGGTATATTTCTTCTCAACTGAGGTAGTTTGTCACCTGCATACGAATATACACCAACACTCGTGGAAATTGTTAGAAATAAACCCTACCACTATATTGGATGTTTCACTTTTATGGTTTTATGCAGATAGTGACGACGTTAATTTGGTGTTTAATAGCCATCAACACCCGCCGCGGCCTGTGGGCTGCCATGTTGGCTGTGCACCAGGAGGGCCTACCGATCAACAATGACCACAACGATCTGGTCACTAGGGGTGGGCAGAAAAAAATTGAACCGAAAAGACTGAGACCAAGACCAAGAAAGTTGGTCATCAATTCGGTCTTGCGTAGTGAAAGACCTAATATTGTTTGGTTAGTCTCCTCGTTTAACCGAAAAGACCGAATTAACAAAAAAAAAAGTCCAAATACAACCTACAATCCACTAAGTTTAATAGGATTAAACTCTAATTTTCACATCCCTACTCCTTCTAGGCATGCTACCCAATAAAAGTTTTTACTCATATGTGCTTGCGATTTTTTTTTGTGTATATTGTGTTGAAAATTTATATGATTTCTTCGCTTATCTGAAACTTGTGCTAAATTTTGGTTAGGGTCGAGACCGAGACCGAATTTGTTGGTCTTGAGTTTTTTTTTTTAGAAATTCGGCCTTTACTTTTTAAAGACCGAACTAATCGAAAGACTGAAGTATGCTACCGAAATTTTTGGTCTGACCGAATGCCCACCCCTACAGGGCACCATGGAATGCACGAAGTGGACAACCTATAGGTGGTACAAGGAAGACGACGGCTTCATCATGTGGGATCTCAAGCTGTGCCTCATAGAACCACTCTCTAAAATTATCATCTGCATCAGCGGTGATGGGATGCTTCGATCTCGACCGATAACTACAGCTTGTTGCAGACCAAATGGCTATGGAGGATTTCCATGACAGCGACATTTGCCTCCTTGGAGCTGGGCGTGGCCTCATCTGCTTCACTGACTCTTACTCTGCTCGCCTTGCGAGTTTGTGGGATGTTGTGGTGATACCTCACATGTATAAGCCTTAAACCGAGGTATAAGGCATGGATTGAGCCAGTGACGCATGCAGAAAAAAAAATCAAGGGGTTTCGAACTCTGAACAAACTAGACAAAATTATAAACCCCTTTACATGTATGCACAAAAAAAAATAGTGAAAGCTCTACGGAGGCTTCCATGGTCCTATTCTTGAGCCCCCACCGCTCCATGTTAGATCTACCCTTAGTGGTACCTATTAGGTTTAATACCGACCTGATGCCTGCACCCACACCTAGGGCCTATTTGGGGAGTTTTTAGCAGCTACAGCTTCTCCTATAATCTTCAGCTGCTAGAAGCTCTCTCAAACAGCACATATTTTTATCCAGATTCTGAGAATATGTAGTTATAGAATCTGGAAAATGAACTAGAAACCAGAAGCGATTTCCACCAGCTAACTTCTCATCAGCTGATTCTCAGAATCTTTAACTCCCCTGAACCCCTATCATCCCGTCACAACAATAAATACCCTATCTACTTAGCAGCTTAAAAAATACGTCAAAGCTTTTATGTCGAATACCGTGTTAAAACTTTATAGTACTGCTTATATTTCTAATTTGGATGGAGCTGCGTTTGAGGGATTGTGAGAAAGAGGAGATTCGTCTCATTCTTCACGCGCACGCTTCTCAAATTGCTAAACGCTGTGTTTTTTTTTAAAAAAAATTCTATAGGAAAGTTGCTTTAAAAAATCACATTAATTTACTTTTGAAGTTTAAAATAGTTAACTCATTTAATCATGCGCTAATGACTCACCTCGTTTTACGTATCTTCTCCTCTCTCCTTCTCTCAAACTAGTATTGTACTAGTTATTAGTATTACGGATAGTAACTTAATAATTCTTGCACTTTGGGAAGATTTATTGATTCTCTAATCTTGCACTTGCACTGATCTTGAACTTTACTTTACTGCTACCTACACCTACCTATCTGTAGCTCTACAATGTTCTATATATCAACGGTCTCTCTCTAGTTCTACCATGCAATTGCAGTAGTTTCCCTAAAACCTATGGATTCAAACTTGTGTCGTCGGATCTCGCCACGAAGGGGAAGGAGGACCCTCTAGCCGGATGTAATCATACATGACACCAAAGAAGGGGCTCAACGCCCTCGTCTGCGTCATCAACACCACGTTGTCGCCTTCCTGCAACATGTACCCCTTCATCGCGAAATCCAAGCTCCATTGAACACCATGTACTCCGTGCCGCGCGATCGCGTTCCCGTCGCCGAACGCCGCCGCCGTCGTCAACGCCTCGTCCGCCGAGCCGTTCACCACCACCTGCACCCTCGACATCTGCGCCGCCGCCAGCTCGACGCGGAGCGTGTAGGTGGCGTCCGCCACGACGTGCTCCAGCCTGAACCGGATCTGCCGCGTCGTCGGTGCGTACCCGTCTCCTTGCTTTCTGCACAACAAGGAAAACGCACAATTGGTTCTTGATGATTCTTCAGAGGTTAACCATCGAGAGGAGATTGATTGATTGTTCGTTGTTGTTAATTTACCTTGTGATGTGTGCGAAGAACCAGTCCTTGGAGATGTCGTTCTCGCCGATCGTGAAGACGAGATCGCCGTCAGGGTACAGTTCGGCGTACCTCTCCCACAACCCGTACTGCCTGTACTTGTCTTTGGTGATGAAGATCTTGTTGAGGTATTTGGGGTTGGGATCAGGGATGAAGAACTCTGCTGCACTCCTGTCAGGAACACCCATCTCCCACAGTGTTGGGCCTGATCTTGGAGGCTCGAACACAAGATCACCGAGGTTGATGCTACGTCCTGTTTAAATTCAGACAAACAATGGTAGTTAAACAGAGTTGTTCTGATCGAGATTATCATGTTAAATACTGTAATAGCAAATGCCATCTGAATTAGTGCTAACTTAACCTGGTGTTACTGTTACTTGCGAGGTGTACATGTAGTCCCCAAGAAACCCAGGAACCCATGCGTAGAGGTTGTACACTCCTGCTCTCACATTGCCAATGCTGAAGCTCCCACAGGGTGTTGCTCTTGTCCAGAATTGGTAGTTATTGCTCTCTGTGGCCCAAGAACCGGGTTGTCCAGGAGAGGCCAGGCCAACATATGCCATCCCAGCAGCTATATCTTTGCTGCTGACATACCTGAAAAACCATATCACCGGGAATACCATCAAATTAATAGAGCAAATTAAGGTTTCAGAGATGATGATCCATGAACAATTTTGAACCGTACAAGTCATCACTTACTCCCTCCGTTTCAAATTGTAAGACTTTCTAGCATTGCTCATATTCATTTAGAAGTTAATGAATCTAGACACATATATATGCTTAGATTCATTAATATCTATATGAATATGGGCAATACTAGAAAGTCTTACATTGTGAAACGGAGGAAGTAATTACCTGTCTTTGACAAATAGCCTCCCAGTGACTGATCCTCTCTGTCCTGCCTTGTGGAAGTCAGGGGATTCAGGGAAGCTATATGGCCATTTCCTAGCTTCAACTTCTGCCTGCACCTTGGCATCCACCCAGAGCGAATGCAAATCTCCTCTCCTCGGGTTGGAGTTGAGGTAGATGAACACTGGCCCCATCACCTTCTTCCAGTACTCCCCCTCCTCGATCTTCAGAACAATGTCGTTCCCGACGTAATGCGTGCCAAGAAACATCTGTCACGAATCAAAATTTCAGTTTTCTCTCTGTACCAAGATTCCAAGTGCAGAGTTCGTTATTAGTTAGTAATTAGTTTTAGGGTGAACTAATTGATCTTACTGTCAGAGAGGTCGGGCCGACATGGGAGGTGAGCTCGCGCTTGAGAGGGCCGCCGCTCTTGAACTCGTTGCTGGGGGTGATGACCCAGAATCCCATGGGGTTAGGGTGATTGCTGCTAATCCATCCATGAACTCTGTTGTCCTTGTTGTCCAGCGAGTACTCGTACTTGTCATCCACCTAGTACATCACGAATTCAGAAAATCACCAGACGCATACACCAAACAGTCGATTAAAAGATGACAGCCTGATTAATTTGTCGTGCAAGATGTATCGGAATTCGGTTAGTTAATTACCTCTCCTCTGAACTGTGGCTCCTTGGGATCAACGAGCAGGACAGCCTCCTTGTATGCCAATGGAGCACCGCGAGGTGCATCTCTGTCTGTCGCGCTCGGCATGAACCTCTGTATATCGTCTGAGATCGCCATGTAGTTGAACCTGACAAAAACGTTCATGAACACATGTTTTCTAGATTAGACTGCAGATCAAGCAAATATTGAATGTCTTCAGAGAACAATTTTTCAGAAGGAATACTCACTTGTCCGTGTTCAGTTTGAAGGCGAGGCGAGCCTCTGAAATGTTGAGAGCAGGCCAGTCTCTGACATGCTCAAAGATGGCATAGCAGTAGAACCCTGAGCTACCTTTCAACATCACAAGCCTGCACAAATTTTAGAACAGTCATCGTAAAATGGCAGTGATATTTGTATACTACCACTATATTGTTGAGATTATGGGCATATAATGATTTAATTTATTCCATAAATAAATCATGACATTACAGATGAAAACTAGCATGAACGCATCATTAGATCTACACATGTAAACTACGCAGAATAACATGAACAGATCAAATATGCGCAACATATTGAACACGTACCGAGGTGACGAAAAGACCGGCTGCTTGGTCGAAACTTTTCGCAGGTGTCTACGAAGGCACGAAACACGCGAGCGAAGAGGAAGGCGAGCCGTCGCGAACGAACAGGGAGCAGTCGCGCGAAGCGCTTCCCAAAAACCTTATTGCCGCCTTCTCCCGGTGCAGGACGTCAAAGGCAGAGGTTCCGGAGACCTGCTCTCCCGATCGCTGGTGCACGCCGGCGAGCGGGATGGAGTAGTCTACGAGCGACGGCGCAGTACAGAGTAGGAGGCAAACCCTAGATTGATTTTCGCATATATTGCGTGAAGACGGCGGGTCGGTTTATATAGAGAAGGGTCGCTTGATCAGGGCGCCCGCACGATCTCTACTGCGCGTAACCGAACCAGATAAGTCGCGCGTAACTTATCCGGACTCCACGCCGCAAAACAAAACTGCAAAAGGAGGCTGCATCTGCGCAAGGGTGAGGAGCCAATTTTTCGGACCATTCGACGCGTACGTCGTGCACGCGCGCCGCCTGCCCTGCCCTGCCCGGCCAGGCGAGGCGAGCGAGCGCGCGCGTGTGTTTCCCCTCTTCTCTCCACCACACATGCTTCAAGTGGCTAGGAGGGCATCCTCCCTTTTAAGGAGGTCCCCCTCTCCTAGAATAAGCAAGGTGGTACTAAACTCCACATGCATGCCATCCCATGAGGTGGGCTTTTTGTGATTTTCCAAAGAATTAATCTTCGAGTGGGCTAAGGCCCATTCATTAATTCCAACAATCCCCCACCAAATCTCAAAATCCCACTGAGATTTGCCTTTTCCAATGTACTGTTTATATACCAGCGGTTCGATGGAGACCAATTAAGGTTGAACATCCACCTAGAACTCCAAGCTACACTTACTCACAACTTGAACAATGGACTACGCCTTGAATTGCAAGTCTTGTGCAAGCAAGTTTCACTCAAAGTCTTATCTGGTACTAGACCGTCTGTAGACTACCCCTCGGGTGGAGCGTATAAGTCATACTCCTAGGTCTTTAGTAAGCTTCCTAGAAGATTCACCCAAAATCTTCATAGACTGCGACTAACAGTCAAGCTCACAAAGGTGAGTTCTTTCAAGAATGCTCTGCAGGACAACATCTTTGCTAATTAAAGCCAACAGAACTCATTAAGGCATAGCCAACCTGCCTTGCAGCTCACGAGAGTATATGCATCTTCACTTGGAGAGGGTATATATATCGGTACTCTCCTATAGTTTATTAATGGTTTGTTCTTCCCAGGATCTAATTCACGGGATCTCCGATCACATAGACTGGGTTACCACCATAGTATAACTCACATGGGTCTCAAACCCATCTCCTTCGATGCATTGTCTATCACATTTCGTGATAGTCCCTTCGTGAAGGGATCTGCCAGGTTTCTCGCTGTTTGGATGTAATCCAACGTTATAACTCCGGAGTTTCTTAATTTCCTGACAGACTTCAATCGTCTTTTCACATGTCTAGACGATTTCATATTATCCTTAGAACTATTCACTTTGACAATTACCGTTTGATTGTCACAGTTCATAAGGATAGCCGGCACCGGTTTTTCAACAACAGGCAGATCCATTAATAGATCACGCAGCCATTCTGCCTCAACAGTAGCAGTATCCAGTGCCGTTAGCTCTGCTTCCATGGTTGACCTCGTCAAAATTGTCTGTTTGCAAGACCTCCATGAAACAGCACCACCACCCAGTGTGAAAACATATCCACTAGTGGCTTTGATCTCATCCACATCAGAGATCCAGTTAGAATCACTATAACCCTCCAGTACCGCAGGATACCCAGTATAGTGAAGCCCCAATTCCACAGTATCTTTCAGATAGCGCATTACTCGCTCAAGCGCACGCCAGTGATCATCTCCCGGATTAGAGGTAAATCGGCTCAACTTGCTCACAGCAAAGGAGATATCAGGCCTAGTTGCACTAGCCAGGTACATCAACGAGCCAATGATTTGGGAGTATTCCAGTTGATTCCTAGCAATTCTCTTGTTCTTGCGAAGCAACAAGCTAGGATCATAAGGTGTTGGAGAAGGCTTACTATCAATGTAGCCAAAGCGATTCAAGATCTTCTCCACATAATGGGACTGCAAGAGTGTAATCCCATTCTCACCTCTAATTAGCTTAATGTTTAAGATAACATCAGCTACTCCCAAATCTTTCATATCAAAATTTTGAGACAAGAATGATTTAACCTCATTTATCACCTCAAGGTTTGTCCCAAATATCAGTATGTCGTCAACATACAAGCACAAAATAACTCCCTCACCCCCACCATGGCGATAGTACACACATTTATCTGCCTCATTGACTCCAAAGCCTGCAGATGTCAATGTTTTGTCAAATTTCTCATGCCATTGCTTAGGAGCTTGTTTCAGACCATACAAAGACTTCAACAATTTGCACACTTTGCCTTCTTGACCTTCAACTACAAACCCATCAGGTTGATCCATATAGATCTCCTCATCCAGCTCTCCATTAAGAAAAGCTGTCTTAACGTCCATTTGATGAACGAGAAGACCATGTGAGGCTGCTAGGGAAAGTAGCACACGAATTGTGGTCAATCTAGCAACAGGTGAGTAAGTGTCAAAGAAATCTTCGCCTTCTTTCTGAGTATAGCCCTTAGCAACAAGCCGAGCCTTGTACTTTTCAATAGTACCGTCAGGCCTAAGCTTCTTCTTGAACACCCACTTGCACCCCACAGGTTTACACCCATAGGGTCGCTCTGTCACCTCCCAAGTCCCGTTAGCGATAATAGAATCCATTTCACTACGGACAGCCTCCTTCCAGTAGTCTGCATCAGGAGATGCATATGCTTCTGAAATTGACTTAGGAGTGTCATCCACGAGGTACACAGTGAAATCATCACCAAAAGACTTAGCCGTCCTTTGTCTCTTACTCCTTCGAGGAGCTTCACTGACATCCTCCTCAGAGACAAGTTCATGTGTATGTTCAGTTTGTTCTGGTGGTGTGATTGAACTGGGAATTATTTCAGAGGGTTGGTTCGAACCACTATGTGTATCCTTCATTGGGAAAAAGCTCTCAAAGAAGGTAGCATCACGAGACTCCATAATTGTACCAACATGCATGTCCGGTACCTCGGATTTAACTATTAAAAATCTATAGGCAATGCTATGATGAGCATATCCCAGAAAAACACAGTCCACAGTCTTAGGTCCAAGTTTGCGCTTCTTCGTTATTGGTACATTGACTTTCGCCAAGCACCCCCATGTGCGCAAATAAGAAAGTGATGGTTTTCTGCCAATCCATATCTCATATGGTGTTTTGTCCTTATTTCTGTTAGGAACTCTGTTTAACACATGATTTGAGGTCAACAATGCCTCCCCCCACCATGCCTTAGGCAGTCCCGCGGTGTCCAACATGGCATTCACCAAGTCAGTCAGTGTGCGGTTCTTCCTTTCAGCAATCCCATTAGACTCGGGAGAATAGGGAGGCGTCCTCTCATGTATGATGCCATGTTCCTCACAGAATAAGTCAAACTCGTTCGAGAAAAACTCTCCACCACGATCAGACCTAAGCCTTTTTATCTTTCTGTCAAGTTGATTTTCAACTTCTGCCTTATAAATTTTAAAATAGTCTAGAGCCTCGTCTTTCGTTTTCAACAAGTACACATAGCAAAATCTAGTAGCATCATCAATCAATGTCATGAAATATCGTTTTCCACAATTCGTCAACACCCCATTCATTTCACAAAGATCTGAATGTAGGAGTTCTAGTGGTGCCAAGTTTCTCTCCTCGGCAGCCTTGTGAGGCTTGCGAGGTTGCTTCGATTGCACACAACTATGGCACTTAGAACCTTTGACAATGGAAAACTTAGGAATTAAACACATGCTGGAAAGCCGAGACATCAAGCCAAAATTAATATGACATAAACGTGAATGCCAAACATTAGCCTCATCATCCACACTGCCACAAATATGGTTCACAGACTTATTGCAGAAATCAGAAAGGGAAAAGCGGAACAGGCCTCCGCACTCATAACCTTTACCAATAGAATATCCATGTTTAGACACGACTACTTTATTAGACTCAAAAACCAACTTAAATCCGTCTCTAGTCAGACGGGAGCCACTAACAAGATTCCTGTCGATAGAAGGGACATGCTGCACGTTCTTCAGCTGCACGATCTTTCCCGAAGTAAACTTCAGATCTACCGTGCCAACACCATGAACAGAAGCATGTGACCCATTCCCCATTAGGACGGTGGAACCCCGTGCGACCTGATAAGAAGAAAACAATGAGATGTCAGCACAAACATGTACATTGGCCCTAGTATCAACCCACCAATTAGTAGATTGATTAACTGAAAAAACAGTAGGTAAATTACCATACCCGCTTCCATCTCCAGTGTTGCCAATGGTCACATTAGCAGACTTAGAAGTCTGCCCTGCAGGTGCCTTCATCCCCTTGCGCTGTGGACACTTCCTAGCCAGATGACCAACTTGGCCACACACAAAGCAAGTCCTCTCATCCTGATTAGGATTGTTGTTGTTCTTCTTCTGCTTCTTGAAGTTGGTGGTCTGCTGAGCTTTGTATTTCCCCTTGCTCTTGTTCTGGGCCTTGTGCACAACATTGGCGCTGGACTGCCCACCATCGCCCTTAGACGCGGCATCTTTTTCCCGAGCTTTCTCCTCAACATCAAGAGACGCAATCAACCCCTCAACGGAGTATTCCTGTCTCTTGTGTTTGAGTGCAGTACCGAAACTCCTCCAAGATGGAGGTAGTTTTGCAATAATGCACCCAGCCACAAATTTGTCGGGTAAGACACACTTAAGAAGTTCGAGTTCCTTAGCCATGGTTTGTATCTCATGAGCCTGTTCGACTACAGAACGGTTGTCAGCCATCTTGTAGTCATGAAACTGCTCCATGATATACAGATCATTGCTAGCATCAGTAGCACCGAATTTAGTATTCAGTGCATACCACAACTCCTTAGCGTCGGTCATATGCATATACACCTCGACCAGACGATCGCCAAGAACGCTAAGAATGCATCCCACAAAGAGAGTAGTGGCTTCCTCGAATTGCTTCTGCTGTTCAGCAGTAAGAACTCCTTCAGGTTTGCCAGTACTCACCCAGAAGCATTTCATAGCTGTCAGCCACAGAGTGACCCTGATCTGCCATCTCTTAAAATGCACACCGGTGAATTTATCCGGCCTCAGTGCATCGGCAAAACCAGCCATAGTAAAATCACAGTGCCTATGATAAGGTTTTTGGATTGTTGAGATTATGGGCATATAATGATTTAATTTATTCCATAAATAAATCATGACATTACAGATGAAAACTAGCATGAACGCATCATTAGATCTACACATGTAAACTACGCAGAATAACATGAACAGATCAAATATGCGCAACATATTGAACACGTACCGAGGTGACGAAAAGACCGGCTGCTTGGTCGAAACTTTTCACAGGTGTCTACGAAGGCACGAAACACGCGAGCGAAGAGGAAGGCGAGCCGTCGCGAACGAACAGGGAGCAGTCGCGCGAAGCGCTTCCCAAAAACCTTATTGCCGCCTTCTCCCGGTGCAGGACGTCAAAGGCAGAGGTTCCGGAGACCTGCTCTCCCGATCGCTGGTGCACGCCGGCGAGCGGGATGGAGTAGTCTACGAGCGACGGCGCAGTACAGAGTAGGAGGCAAACCCTAGATTGATTTTCGCATATATTGCGTGAAGACGGCGGGTCGGTTTATATAGAGAAGGGTCGCTTGATCAGGGCGCCCGCACGATCTCTACTGCGCGTAACCGAACCGGATAAGTCGCGCGTAACTTATCCGGACTCCACGCCGTTTGCACGCACCGGATTTTTCGGAACGTTTCCAAAACAAAAACGAATCCGAATTTGCAGCAAAACAAAACTGCAAAAGGAGGCTGCATCTGCGCAAGGGTGAGGAGCCAATTTTTCGGACCATTCGACGCGGACCATTCGACGCGTACGTCGTGCACGCGCGCCGCCTGCCCTGCCAGGCCAGGCGAGCGAGCGCGCGCGTGTTTCCCCTCTTCTCTCCACCACACATGCTTCAAGTGGCTAGGAGGGCATCCTCCCTTGTAAGGAGGTCCCCCTCTCCTAGAATAAGCAAGGTGGTACTAAACTCCACATGCATGCCATCCCATGAGGTGGGCTTTTTGTGATTTTCCAAAGAATTAATCTTCGAGTGGGCTAAGGCCCATTCATTAATTCCAACATATATGACAGGACAAATTATAGCCAACTTTATTAATACAGGTCCGAAAATTCTGGAGAATGGAGAGTACCTTTTGTCGATGTTTAGACTGACACTATTTGGACGTGATGGATTATAGGTGCTCCTGAAGGAAAGCTCCACTTGGTCTTCACTTGAGGATACTACCTTGAATTCAGTACTATCCAGCCTGTGAAAATTCAGTCAATTAGTTCATCTTTTTTGAAAGATAAGCATAATTCCTTCAGCTGTAGACCGTAATATGGTGCAGTGCATACTATTTTAGGGCCCATTTGAATCGCAGGATTGAAAAAGCGTAGGAATAGGAAAAACGTAGGATTTTGATGGGAATGTAAGTGTAAAACAGAGGATTGCAAAATGCAGGAAAAACACAGGAATGACCGTTCGATTAAACCGTACGAAAAACACAGGAATTGGATGAGAGAGATAGACTCAAAGGAAGGTTACCAAGAGGTTGAACCTCTTGCTAAATTTTCTCCAAAATCTCTATATGATTGTCCATTACATAGGAATTTCAAAGGATTGGATATGATGCAATCCTTTGTTTCAAAGGGCTTCATAGGAAATTTTCCTATAGGATTGAAATCCTCGAAAATTTCTATGTTTTTCCTCCAATTTAAAGGGGCCCTTACATTACTGTGAAATTATGTTTTCCAGCAAGAAAATCATTTGAGCTCTTGTACATATCCTATGTTTATTAGGCAATAATTTCTGACGGTGTTTGACACTGTTTGCTTATCAGAAAAGAACTGAAGTCACAGTTACAGGTTGCTCTTGGTACTATTGCTATTAGGAAGCATCTTTCGGTGCAGAGTGATGAACTGAAAAGGCTTGTTCATATTTTACAGCAAAAGCTTGTTATCTGACCTGCCAGTTCTTCAATCCATATGAATATGGGTGGTTCAAAAGAAAAATGAACATGATTATAACTAGCTAGCAGCTATATGTCCAAGTCGTGTTAAATAATCGAACTAGTACTGTTATATTGTTGTGGACGGTGGGTAGGTTGATCTTGTTAATTATGTTATGATGAGTTGTAACAGAGTAAGGCAATAAAACAAGAACACAATTAACTACAGCTAGCCAGTTAAGTACTACTACCTCCGTCTCAAAATGTAACTATTTCTAGCACAGTACTTTGTCCCAAAATGAAGCTATTTTTCTACCTACCTTCTCCTCTCAACCAATCACAACCATTCTTTTTCACCTACTTTCTCTTTTCAATCAATCACACACCTTTTTTAATCATTCTCATCTACTTTTTTAATACCCGTGCCAACCTCAAAAATGCTTATATTTTGGGATGGAGGAAGTAACTGCTAACTACTAGTAGTGAGTTTCAGATTTATGTACCTACTTCAGTACTAGTAGTAGTTCAGTTAGAACCAGAGTACTAGTTTATCGAACTTTCTAGCTGACATTTATTTTGCACATTCCAAGTAGAAAATTGGTATAATTTAGAAATAAATTGAGAATGAACAGTAGTCAGATCACATATACAGATGTGGAATAAGAACACACGCAAAGATGATGGTTGGGTTGGATGACTACTGAAGTACTGTAGCATTCGTGGATGCATCCTTAATTTTCACTTTAGAACAACAAAAATGAATTGAGGACCTTAAGCACAGGAAGATCTCAAAGTGCATGCACCCAATGCAAGCATAGTTCGCAGACGATATAGTACAATATACAATAAAGTTAAGAAGTAATGACGTACATATCGATCATGCCTCTTGGACTATTGGACCCAGGGAAGTTCCATACCACATCCCAGTACCTGCAAATTAATTAACAGGTCGATCGAGATCAAATTTGATACAAGATAAAATATACAGTGTCTCGTTACATCCACTGGTAGAGAAACCATCTTTGGTCGGTCGACCTATATCCACAATAGTCCCGGTTCCATTAAAAACCGAGACTAAAAATGATTTTTAGTCCCGGTTAATAAGAGGAAGATCTTTAGTCCCGGTTGTTGTTACCAACCGGGACTAAAAATCATCTTTAGTCCCGGTTGGTAACTCCAACCGGGACTAAAGTTCATTTTTAGTCCCGGTTGATTCCATGTCAGGCTGTGTCAGGGCCCTATAATCTTTAGTCCCGGTTAGTAACACCAACCGGGACTAAAAACCTATTTTTAGTCCCGGTTGGTGTTACTAACCGGGAATAAAAATCAAAACACACTATATAATCCATAGTACCGATCCTCTTTTCCCGTCCACACAACAAACTCCTCCCTCTATCTCTTTTTTTCCTCTCTAACTTCTTATCTCTTTCCTTATCTCTAACTCCCCTCCTCTCCTTCCTTTTTTCCTTCACCACAGTGTAGGCGGCCGGCGCGGAGGCGGCGACGCGGGGGACGGTGCGGAGGCGGCCTGTGCGGCGGCCGGCGCGGCAGCGCGGGGGGCCGCGCGGCAGCGGCGGTGGGCGGGAGGCCGCGCGGCGGCGCCGGGGGCCGCGCGGAGGCGGCGGCTGCGGTGGGCGGCCGCTCGGCGGCGACCGGCTCGGCGCTGGCCGGCCGGCGTGGAGGGGAGGAGGGGAGGCGGCAGTGGCCGCCGGCCGGATTTTTTTTCTTTTTTTTTTTGAGATGTAAATCTGTGATGTATTTTTGTGTGAGATGTGAATCTGTGATGAATTTTTTAGAACCCTGTGATGTAATTTTTTTAAGAGTTTGTGATGTATTTGGAGATGATTTGTTTGAGGATTTGGAGATGTTCTGTAATATGTGATGATTTGGATATGGAAGGGGATGGTGTGAAATCAATATTCAATATTAAAAGCAGAAAAAAAAGAAAAAATATCTTTAGTCCCGGTTATTTGAACCGGGACTAAAGATAGCGATCTTTAGTCCCGGATTCGTAGTCCCGGTTGAAAAACCGGGACTACAGGGGGTTACGAACCGGGACTAAAAAACATTTCTCCACTAGTGATCGCACATATCTTTATAGTTATACTTTTATGTTCATGCAAGCTAGCTAGCTAGTACTTTTTCTGAAATTAAAAGAAGAAGAGACTAAAGAGCAAGCAAACTAATACTACAAGTAGTAATTACTCCGATCGATCGAGAGATGGAACGTACCCGGCGGAGTTGGCTTCTCCGTCGTAGTGGAGCAGGTTGCGTTCGCCGTTGTATCTGACGCCGGTGATGTGGCCCCCAGGGTTTGACAGCGTCACCTGCACGATGCCATTGTCCACCATCACCTGCATCCACATCCATGCAGGTTAATATGCCAGCTTAAACTACGTAACACGTACTGTGTTAATCAATGAAAAGAGCTACTCCCTCTGTTGGTAAATATTTGAAGCTGTTGACTTTTTTAAATATATTTGACCGTTTGTCTTATCTAAAAAATTTAAGTAATTATTAATTCTTTTTCTATCATTTGATTAATTGTTAAATATATTTATATGTATACCTATAGTTTTACATATTTCACAAATTTTTTTAATAAGACAAACGATTAAACATGTGCTAAAAAGTCAATGGTGTTAAATATTTAGAAACGGAGGGACTATACTAGCCAGCCGCTAGTTATATAATATTATTAATTGATCGAAACGCATGATCTGATCAATTGATCACGATCGATCCGGCACTGCATCGATAGCTAAATGTAGTTAATTTTACCTGGCGGTGGTCGAGGTGTAAGGTAACGCTGCCGCCGGGGCGAGGTCCCTTCGCCGGCACGGCCGCGTGCAGCGGCGTTAGTGACGACGCCGACGACGCTGCGACGGCGACGAGCAGGAGCAGCAACGGCAGCTTCGTGCAGGCCGCCGCCGCCGCCATTGGACGAACGATCGATCGATATATGGAAGTAGAGCTAGCTAGTTGGACAAGTGACGACTAAAAAGCGCATATGATCGATCGATGGATATGCATGCGTGTGCAAGACGCGCTCTATCTATATATATCTATCGTTCGATGAATCCACATCTTCGATCGATCGGCTAACTTATATAGTAGTTCTTGCTTCCATTTATCGATCGATATTGAAGCATGGGCGGCTGGGATTTAGTAACAAGTGTTGGTTACGGCCGGCGCCGGAAAGACGAACTTTAAAATTAAGAATGGGAAAATAATGATGGATGATGAGTTTGGTTGTTCTAGCCGTGCAAGTGCGGTGCGTCGTCGTCACAGTTCTTGCCTTTAGCTCGATCTCTTCGCGGTTTTGTTTGTTACACCAAGCCGTTAGCTTGCTTTGCTCTGCCTCTGATCATCGACGATGCAGACACTACTACGCAGTTGGATGCAGGTATGGCCTTTAATTATACGTAGCAGCAGCTAACAAATATTTAATGCAGAAGGAAATTGTTGGTCTGTGCAATTTGCATTCGATTATGTTATTCGTCTTCGTCGTCAAGTATACATGTAAGTACGTGCTTGTGCTTGACTCGATCGAATCAAATTAAACCACAATGTGTTTCAGCTTAAAATTGCTACGTACGGAGTAGTTGCAGTGGGATTAGGTACATATTTAGGTCACGTTCGTACCGTACTCCACTCCACTAATCGTCTTGAAAATTGCAATCCAATTTAACCGGACATATCGATGACGGACTGATAATCGTCCTCCAAAAAAAAAGGGACTCATAGTAGTCAGCGTAGGGGGCCCTAATGGACGATCGATCGCTAGGCGATTGCCTGGGCGATCGGATCCGGCTCCCCTCCCCCTATACTCCTTCCTCCTCTCCCCTATTCCTCCTCCCCTTCTCCTCTTTCTACTATAGTAGACTACACAATTTTTTTTGAAAAATAAAAGTTAGAAAAATTTATGTATAGAAATACTATATATAAAAAATTTGAATTCAAATTCAAATTTAAATCGGGTATGTAAACTTTTGACTTATAAACTTTGGGTGTATAAACTTTAGGTGTATAAACTTTAGATGTATAGAAATACTATATATAGAAAATATTTGAATTCAAATTCAAATTTGAAACGGGTATATAAACTTTTGACTTATAAACTTTAGGTCTATAAACTTTATGTGTATAAACTTTAGATGTATAGAAATACTATATATATAAAAATATTTAAATTCAAATTTAAATTTGAATAGCATGTATAAACTTTTGACTTATAAATTTTTGGTCTTTAAACTTTAGATGTGTAAACTTTAGGTGTATAAATTTACTAAAATAGAAAAGTAATGCGGTGCCAAAAAAAGAAACAAGGTGGAGAGGTGGAAAAACTGATCTCGCCCACTAGCATTCCCGGTCAGCATAAGCATGCATTACATGCATCAGGCCACTAGCTACACGGGCTGGGCCTTAGTGGGCTAATGGGCCTAGCCCAAATCGAACAACGGACGGACTACCGCTGCAAGCATGCTTGCGACCGGCTTTAAACTAGCTAGGCAGTTTGGGCCGCCCCAAATAAAAAATACGGGCTAACTATATTTATTTTTTAAGATAATAAAAACATTTATTGAAATCAGTCGATTACAATTTTGCAATATATTTGTCGAGAATTTTTTCCTAAAAATTGACAGATACAAATATAGTACAATTGCTATGTATTACATTGTAATTTATATATAACTAGCATGTAAATTACATGTACCTACAATGTAATTTTGAACCATTCAATTTGCTTTAAAATTTGTGCAAAGAAGGTAGGAAAAAATCACAATCCATGCACATGTGAGAAGATTTGGTACCATTACCTCCGTTTTCACCGAAATAGCATATCACCTAAGGATTTTTGAAAGTTACATACAAGTTACACTATAAGCACATGCAAGTTACAATATAATTATATTACGATCGTACTATACAACTGCCAAATTTTTTAGTTAAAATTTGACAAAAAATATATGGCTAATGATAGGGTGATATAATTTTTCTGAGAACACTTTCGGCCTCTGCATAACTAAGATGCACACATCCGAACATACAAAACAACACGCAAAAAGAAAAGAAAAAAATGACATGGAGTATTGAGAGCCATCAATACAAAGACTAAATCGCCATCCATGAATAACTCATTGGCCATCTTCTCCAAAAGCACAGAATATTAATTTAGAGCCACCAATTCTAAGATTAGATCGCCACCCATATCCATGGTAAAAAACTTTTTGACCACCTTCTCACAATTTAATACCATCACCATTTATGACACATCTTCTTTAAAGAGAGAGACGGTTAATTTTACACTATAAATTATAAATTACGTATACATTTATATTGTAATTGCATTGTAAAGTTTAAACCTTACAATGTAACTATAATTTTTCTCGTACTCAGTAATGTAACTATAATTTTTCTAGTACTCACTGGCATAACATAAGAGAATTAAGATAAAAATGATTATTTACCTGCCTGGAAGAAGAAAGTATATACCACATGATAGGAAAATATAATTATATAAGACAGATGTAGCGATCATATAATAAAAAAATATTGATTGAAGAACTGTAAAATTAAAGTACAGATAAGTACGTAGCACTCTTTGTACATTGATGCAAATGCAGAGACGACCACACCGACCTATCGATGCACTGTGTTTTGTTTGCATCCATGGCGCCATGGCCCAGCTGCATGCTGCTAGCTTGCAGACTACCAGTAGGATGCCATTGGAGTACTAGCTACTTCTATCAAGGATGGGGGCAATGTTCACATCTCCAATCTTGTCGATTAATGATTAATCGCTGCCTCCTGCAGTTTAATTACGACCTTGCATTGCAGGCTCACGTTTATTACTATGCACATGCATAATACATTATCTCAATCGGTCTCTCTCCCTACCTGTTCGTTCACGACTTCACGTGCGTGGCTAGCTAGCTAGCGGGGTTTACATTACCGGTTGACCACTAAATTTCGAGCCCCATCGATATCCCGGTTTTCGATAAATTTCGACTAAATCTACTGTCGAAACTTAATTCGAGCCATGTCGAAACGTCGAAATTTCACGGAATTCGACCGGTTTTCGTCGGAATTATGAACCCTGCTAGCTAGTATGATTTATGCTCAAATCTGTATCTATCTACATTTACCCTACGAGCTAATTTCAGTCAAAATTAAACGACTTTTGCATGGTCTCCTAGTTTTCTGATAGTCGTGAAAGGAGCGAAACTCTAGGTTTTCGACTACTCTTTTTCTTCGGTTTCAGCGGTTTTGATTCCATCCTACAAGAAAACCGTCTGTGATCTGCTACAAGCGTCGCCGTTTTGGGGGACCTGTCGGGAGTATAGTGTAGTCTTCCGCCACAAACCTCTCTCTGTATAGGAGCAGCCTTTTCTTAATCGTATAAGTTTCTTTCGGTCTTTTGGGTTTTCGGTTTTTCCCCTTTCCCCTAGCAATGGCCATTCGGTTTGTTGTGTTGTGTAATTGAAACATTGCTTTCCTCTAATATGCTGACATGTAATCTTTTATGTGCGTTCGTGAAAAAGTTTTGTATGGTCTCTCTCGCCGGCCGGACAGATAGATTAGATTAGAATAGATCAGTATGCATATGCATGTACTTGCTGCAGGTCAATTTTCTGGTGTATGGTAGGAGTAGAATGGAGATCACATCTCTGTACTGAAGAGAGCGAATTAAGCAAGTCAGAGACCTAATAAATAAGATAGCCTAATATATATACTCCGTACTAATGGAAGTTGGCCGGCTTATTTAAAGACGAGGAGTACTTATATACTGTTTGTGCAACTCGTGTGATTTTGAAAACTGATATATACATGCATGTATGCTAATTTGTTTAGTAGGATGAAGACGTGCTCGATTATGACATGATCAACGACTAATGGTTATTGGTTAGCTGGCTGAATGAACCCCAGCCGACCGGCTTTATCCAGGGCAGCTAAACTAACTAGTAGCGTCGACGACCATGCAGACACAATGCATCATATATTGTATAAAAAATTACTCCATCAAGTTTTATATTACAAGATGTTTTGTTCAAACTTCTTTTAAATTTAACCAAATTTATAGAAAAAAAATAGCAATATTTTTAACATAAAACACTTGGTCCCAATATGTTACTACCTTTGTCTTATAATAAGTACTCCATTCGTCGTGTTATATTTTGGGACGGAGTAGTACATTCTTAGCTCCTTGCTTTTGTTCCAAAATAAATTTATTTTTAAAGTAAGAGTTTGTGAAAGTAAGAAATAAATGTATTGGGTATAGATAAAATAGAGAATAATTAATTGTATTAGAATTTGATAAAGTAGGGGTATTCTAATCTTTTTGTTTTGTATTGGTATACGTGGGATAGATGAAAAATGAATTTATTTTGTAATGGAGTGAGTATTACATAATACTCCGTATATAGGATGAGACATTTCACTGGTGGAGAAACCCTTTGTAGTCCCGGTTCGTAACCCCCCTTTAGTCTCGGTTTCCAAACCGGGAGTACCAATCCGGGACTAAAGATCGCTATCTTTAGTCCCGGGTGAAATAACCGGGAGTAAAGATCGATCTTTAGTCCCGGTTGGTGTTACCAACCGGGACTAAAGATAGAGCTGACCTTTTTTTTTGCATGCCCCTGTTGCTGCATGGTTTATATATATATATATATATATATATATATATATATATATATATATATATATATAAACCATGCATATATATGCATACATATATATATATATGTATTTATACATATATATGTTATGCAAATGCATATGTATATAGATATATATATGAACAAAATATATTTACATTATAGAAAATGTGTACACATGCATATAGAAACATATGTAGTCATGTATTAATTACAATCCATTATATGTCCTAGCTAGCTACGATTTTGACGTAGTAGTACTCGCTGCTAGCTCAGAAGCTAAGGACCGGTGAATTGTGTTTCCGTCGTAGTAGAATTCACCCTTGGGATCAAGGATTTCTTCGTTGATGAATCCCATGAGTTGTTCTTGAACCGCCGCGATAAATTCCTTGTGTGTGGTCAGGTTATCCCTCATGCGAATAAATTATATGAATGTATGAAATTGATTAGTAA